GGGACAAAATAGGTGTTTGTTTTTTTTTTTTTTCTTTTATACAAGCTATGTTCAGAAAACACAAGACCAAAGAACCATACTATCACATTTATTGCTAAAGGCAAAATATATTTCGGTACAATTCTGTGACTTTCCAAAAGAAAAGAAAAGACTGTCTATATAACCAACATAGACAACATCCAAGAAAAAAAGATAAAGGCCAAAAGTTCAAGAAAAAATATACATTTCTTTTTCACCTATGAAGTTTTGATCATAAGATCGGTTGATCTTAAAATACAAATACCAATTGTATTTGGCTTGGGAATATGATTTGGGTCAAAATGGCTGGCAAAACTATTTTCCATATGACCTTCAAGTTCCATATTCATCTGCTTTAGGATTCAGATCTTTCCCTAAAGCCATTATATTGTTTGTTTACCGTCAGGACTTCATGTGCCTCTATTTGTTTTTATCTCTACCATTAAATTTTAAGTTCCCTGAATGCAGATTCTGAATCATATGTGGTGTTCATATCTCTTATCAAGCCCCACACAACATGGAGATTCACAAAAATAATTGAATTTTATTTCATTTGGAGTATCTGAAATGAAAACAAACGAATAAATCCCACATCACATATTGTGGCACACTAGCTCTTAGACTCTGCCCTGGTCACACTGGGTGCCTGACTGCCTCAGAACAAATTATCTGATGGCCATAACTGTGTGAGGTGTCTTCTCTGGTTAAAGACTCCACTCCTCTGGCCACAGGAGTCGGCATACAAACCAAGCGTGGCTAATTAAAAAGGCCTTCGGAACTTTAAAAACTGATTCTGAGAGAGAATTCTTTTCCTTTATGATTCCAGGATAGTTTGGATACAAGCCTTGGCTGCTTCTCCAGCTTCCCAAAGAAACTGGTCTTCATAGAATAACATACAGACACAGAAAGGGGAGCAAGTGAGAGGCCAGACGAGCTGGACACTCCTAAAGCTAACTGCACCCTTACTTTTCCCACATCTAGGTTATAAGAGTCAACAAATATCATGCACCGACCTTCACTAGTTCATGTAAGGTTCTATCACTAGAAGCCAGAGTTCTAACTAGTTCAGGGACAGATTTGTATTACTGTAAGGATTCTTGGAATTCATGGCGTCCAAAATCCTCACGTTAAGTATTAGGAAGATGGATTAGTAGAGAGGTTAAATACCTTGCTTGAATTCTCACAATGAATTTGTAAAGACGCAGGAAACTGTGGCAGATTCTGCAGGTTGGCTCGTTCTCTCTCATTTTGACACCAGCATTCCCCAGTCTTCTTGCAGTTGGGTGCAGGCAGGTGGCCTGAGTTCCTGGCAGGCAGAGGCATCTGAGTTCCTGGCAGGCAGGATGAGAAATGAGCAACGAGAGGTGGCCGCTGCATGCCAGGAGCTTGTCTCTTCCGGAGAGCACAGTGGTGTGGCCAAGCGGTTCCTCTGAGACAATGAAGTAGGCTCGCTGCCACTTAGTGTCCTACCTGCCTGGTGCCCTACAGGCTCCCTACAACCACTGTTTTTCTTTTTTCTTTTTAGTTGAAGTGTAGCTGACATATCGTATTAAATTAGTTTCAAGGGTACAGCAGTTATTCAACAATCAGATACATTATGAAATGCTCACCATGATAAGTGTATTACAACCTTCCCTATGCTGTACTTTTCATTCCTGTAACTTATTTATTTTATAACTATATTTGTAACTCTTCATCGCCCTCACCCGTTATCATCCCCCACCCCTTCCCCTTTGTCAACAACCACCAGTTTGTTCTCTGTATTTATAAGTCTGTTTCTCTCTTTTGTTGTTGTTTGTTTCTTCATTTGTTTGGTTTTTAGATCCCACATATAAGTGAAATCATATGCTATTTGTCTTTGTCTGGCTTATTTCACTTAGCATAATACCCTCACGGCCCACCCAGGTTGTCATGTATGGCAAGATTTCATTCTTTTTTATGGCTATTATTCCATTATATATATATATACACACACGCACACATATATATACATATATATAATTAATAATATATAATATATTAATTAATATAATATAATGTATTAATATATTAATTAATATAATGTATTGTATATTAATACATAATATATAAATAAATTAATATAATATATTAATATATAATAATATAGAACATATTAATAATAATATATATATCACATCTTTTTTATCCATTCATGCATCGTTTGAAACCACTGTTTTTTGCCTGATTGTCTTGTTTTGTTTGTTTTTGACTGAGTGAGACCCAAAACTGGGTTCTATGGCTCTCGCAAGATTCTGGGAGCCACTAATATCCTTCAATAAATCACTTTCCACTTAAACTAGCTAGAATTCTGTTTGAGACCAAGAAGTTTCACCTCAATAGAATTTGGTACCTTGAAATGGCGTGCTGCAATCTCAGATGTGGAACTCGGTTGCTGAAGGTGGGCTTTGAGCAGTGAAGGCACAGATACTGAAAGCGGAAAGCTGGAAACTCTTAATAGGGATGACATAAAATTTTGTCAACCTGTCCTCATGTTGTGCCTCGGAAAAATAGACTATTGTGTGCCCTACTTTCCACTAGAAGAGAAAAAAAAAAAAAAAAAAGGATGTAGAATGAGGACATTTAAGAGCAATCCCCGGAATTCCTAAACTCCTTCCCAAAGTTCATGCCACTTCGAAATGGTTTTTGGTTGCCTCCATTTCCAAAATGTGTTTCTTGTTTTAATTTTTTCCAGCTTTATTGAAATGGAACTGACATACAACATTGTATAAATTTAAGGTGGATAATATGATGATTTATGTCTATATTGTGAAGCGTTTACCACAATAAGGTTAGTTAGCACATCTTTCATTTCACATAATTACCATTTTGTTGTTGTTACGGTGGCGAGAATATTAAGGTTCTACCCTCATAGCCATTTTGGAGTATACAATACAGTATTGTTAACTATAGTCACCATGTTGTATGTTAGATCCCTGGAACTTACTCGTACCATAACTGAAAGTTTGTGCCCTTTGGCCAACACCTCCCCATTTTCCTCACACCTCAGCCCCTGACAGTCTTCATTTTAGTCTCTGTTTCTAGAAGTTCAGTGTTTTTAGATTTCACATATAAATGAAACCATTTAGTATTTGTCTGTCTCAGTCTGAATTATTTCACTAATAATGCCCTCAAGGTCCATTCACGATGTTGCAAATGACAGGATTTCCTTCTTTTTTATGGCCAAATAATACTCCATTGTGTATATATACCAACCACATTTTCTTTATCTATTCATCTGTTGACGGACACTTAGATGGTTTCCATGCCATGGCTATTGTAAATAATGCTGCAATGAGCATGGGAGGGTGCATACATCTCTTTGAGATAGGGATTTCATTTTGGAATATATAGCTAGAAGTGGCATTGCTGGATCATATGGTAGTTCTGGTTTTAATTTGTTGAAGAACCTCCATACTGTTTTCTAGAGTGGCTGCAACAATATACATTCCCACCAACAGTGCACAAGGATTCCCTTTTTTTCTGTATCATTTGTTATCTCCTGTCTTTTTGATAATACCCATTCTAACAGGTGTGGGATAATACCTCATTGTGGTTTTGATTTGTATTTCTCTCATGTTAATGATATTGAGCCCCTTTTCATGTATTTGTTGGCCATTTATACATCTTTGGAAAATGTCTATTCAAGTCCTCTGCCCATTTTTTAATTGCACCGTTTTTTTTTATTGAGTTGTACAAGTTCCTTATATATTTTGAATATTACTCCCTTATCAGAAATATGACTTGCAAATAACTTCCCCCATTCCATAGATTGCATTCTCATTTTGTGGATCATTTCCTTTCCTGTGCAGAAGCTTTTTAGTTTAATGTAGTCCCACTTACTGATTTTTGCTTTGTTTTAATTTTAAAATGTAAGCCTAGGGGCGCCTGGGTGGCGCAGTCGGTTAAGCGTCCAACTTCAGCCAGGTCACGATCTCGCGGTCTGTGAGTTCGAGCCCCGCGTCAGGCTCTGGGCGGATGGCTCAGAGCCTGGAGCCTGTTTCCGATTCTGTGTCTCCCTCTCTCTCTGCCCCTCCCCCGTTCATGCTCTGTCTCAAAAATAAATAAACGTTGAAAAAAAAAATTTTTTTTAAATGTAAGCCTTGCCTAGTCAAAATTCATTTCCCCCTCCATTTTTAAACATTGGTAAAGAATGAGGAAAGAAGTGGAAATAGAACAGAACTTTTCCCCATGACACTAACATTTCTAGAAAATTTTACTTCTCTTCTTGAAAGCCAAAGGAGGGTTCTTATTTTCTCTCATTGTACCCACTTCACCTCTCTGCACCTCAATTTCTCCATATGCAAAATGTAGGAATTCAAAGCCTTTCAAATGTAATGTGCCAATGAATGAATGAGCTCATTGCATTAGCAAAACTGAAGCCTTGAGAAGCCTGGTCCTGTGGTCACAGCAGGTCTACTTCACTTGTGAGAGGACAGCAAGAGCAAGGGAGGAAAGAAATCCTGTATGCTTGGAGGTAGCATGGCACAGGTCGCCCTGAGACCTGTTCAGAGGGTACTAAGAAAGAAGAGACCGTTTTCTGGGGAAATGGGATCCTGATGTGGGGGAAATGGGACACAGGATGGGTGTGCTGCTTCGGCAGAGCAAACCCAAAATAAACTTTACCAGGTTGCTTTGTTTGGGACTATAACCTAAATCCATCATTTGGCATACACGTAATGGGCAAATATATATGCCCATACTTAACGTCAAGATGTTTTAAAATTTTTGATAAACTTTAAGTAAGTATTAAGAGAAAGGGCATATACGCAACAAATGTTTAAAGGTATTCAAAGGCAAAAGGGCTATGAGTATGGCTTGACCATTGGCATACACTGCCAAGTTCAGAAGGGTCAAATAATGAATATTATAATTGATGTCAGTGATAAGAAAGTAAGAGGTTCTTACAGCTATACCTGTAAAATATATGTACATATTTTAACTGTAAAAATATGCATATTTACCCATTCCAGGCAGGCCCTGCTTGTGCAATTTCTCTTGAAAAAATTTCTAATGCCTTCTTCTGTTTATGATGTCCTGAAAGTCAAAGGACTACTTCTCCAGGACCCTATTAACAAAGAGTAGAAATTAACAGATGTCTACTGCAAAATATGAAACAAGCCTGTATTTGCATACCATGAAAGAAGATATATTTCTGGACCATATAATTATCTCTGATTTGCATGATCACTATAAAGAGTTTATTATTACAGGTTTTCCCAATTATGCCATGCTTGTCCACAAAAATAAACACCTTATTAAATGATAACACTCTTGGTCCTCCATAAATTATTAATAATAAATTTTATCTTAGGAATATAACTTGACACATGGGAATGATAGCTTGAAAAAATCGCTAAAATTCTATTTGAAAAACCCCTTTACTTTTTTCCATTTTCTATCTCTTTTATTTAATTGAGGCCTATTACTTTCTTCATACGACAGATGATTTTAAATGATATGTGTATCATTGCTATAGTTCAATTCCTCTTAAAGGACAACTACATCATACATGATCTATAGCCATTGGACAGTTTATTATAGAATGAGTCAGTTATCCTAGTTTGAAACAGAGTTATAATACATAAATATATAAATAAACAGTGTCTTACTTGAGACTTTTAAGGATTTAGCAATGATATTCTCTGAAAAGTGTGGTCATCTGAAAGGTCACTAGAAAGGAGTGGAAGCCTAAGGTCTAGTTCTGCCTGTTATTCTAAAGACCTGCTTGTCCTTCATTAAGTCAGTTCATTTCCCCACAACTTAATTTGCCTTTCTAGTCAAATGAAGATCATATCAGCTTCCTAACTACTTCACAGAGCTACTATGATGAAACAATATGGCATCAGATGTGAAACATTTCTTCAAGGACAAATATGAGACATAATTATTTTAATGACCAATAATTAAAGTAAACTTCTACTTTTCCCATTATGTTTACTATCAATTTCTCAGTCTAAAACCAACTTAATGAATCTGTTTGACAATTTAATTATGTGACTAAATTGAGCTTTATGGATACATCATGAAAAATAGACACATGTACTGTTTTCATGCAGCCTTTAATACAAAGCACCTTCCAAACAACAGATTAAAAGTTGGCTTTCAGATAGCAGCTACGCTGTGGTAAGCATAGCATCCTGTATAGAGAAGGTGAATCACCATTTGCACACCTGAAACTAACATAACATTGTGTGTGGCCCATGCTCAAAAAAAATTAATAAAAACAAATCAATTAATTAAAAGTTTTAAAGTTGGCTTTCACAATAACCTTTCATTTTAAGTTCTACATTCACTAATTCTAATTCAGTGAATTATATATGTCAGTTAAACCACCTAGCCACTCATAGAGCACATATTCCTAGGTAGAGTGAAATAACTACACTCGACACCTGCTTCCTGCTTCTGGGTTTTATCAGGCACCTAAAATTTCCCATATAATTCTCAATAGTCCCTAAATTTAAATCCCGACCTTACCACATGCTAGTCTACAAAATAAAACACAGGAGTTCCTGGCATTTGGGGAGTGGAGTGGGGCTTCATAAAATGAAATGAATAACAGACTGCAAAAATTATGCAACTAAGAATTCTCTAAAAATTTTGTCAAAATAAAATATTTGGCCAACATCTTGTTGAGCTTTCTATTTTGTACAAAAGAGAAAATTCCTAAATAGAGAAGAGTGTCAATAAAGATTGTAACACAGACAATTGAACCATACTATTTTAACATATCTGGGATTATAAGGAACAATATTATTTTCTTTTTTTAAAATTTAATAAATTATCTTTTTATGGCATTCAAGCCTTAATAATTCAGTTACAGAAGCTTTAGATCTTTTCCATTGATTCTACACGAAAATGAAACTCTTGCTCCTAGATGTTAAAAGTACAGAAGCTAGAACTGGACTGCAGGGAGTTCAAAGTCTGGCCCTGCCCCTCATTAGCCATTTGACCTGAGACAAATTATTCAACCTCTCTGCATCTGTTTCCTCATTTATAAAATAGAAATACTAACAGATCTACCTAAAAGTGTTGTTGTGAGGGCTAATTGAAAATACAAGTAGGGGCGCCTGGGTGGCTCGACGGGTTAAGCATCATACTCTTGATTTCGGGTCGGGTCCTGATTTCACGGTCATTAGATCGAGTTCCATGCTCAGTGTGGAGCCTGCTTGGGATTCTCTTTCCCTCTCTCTCTGCTGCTCCTTCACTTGTGCTTGCTCTCTCCCTCTCAGAATAAATAAACTTTAAAAAAAGAAAAAAATACAGGTAGAGCACTTGGAACAGTGCCTGCCACACACTACCCTCTCAGTTAGTGTTACTGTGACTCTGTAATTGATGTTTCCCATATACTTTCCCATCTTTGATGAATACTTCTTAAGTGACAGAAGTCACTACACACCAAGATATCTACAAATAATCCAGAATAATAATATGGTCAAACCTTTGTGAATAAGACTGTCAGAGTTAAAAAGTCCTAAAAAAATTATTCAAAAGGGTTAGACTTGTAATTAGAAAGTTTATATAAGACACACCTATAATAATGTTGCTTGGAATAAATATACGAATAGGGAAAGAAAGTTCCTAGGCAAGGTCAAGTTAATTATCCATAATTTAATGAGACATTGACCATACTTCATTTTGTTTAATTTGGTCACTTACATTTTAAAAACTAATCTTGGTGCCTGGATGGCTCAGTCAGTTAAGCCTCTGACTTTGACTCAGGTCATGATCTCATGGTTCGTGGGTTCGAGTCCCGCATCTGGTGAGCTTGAGCCCTGCCTCTCTCTGTCTGTCTGTCTGTCTGTCTGTCTCTTTCTTCCTTCCTCTCTCTTCCTGCCACTCCTTCACACCCTCTCTCTCTCTCTCTCAAAAAAAAAAAAAAAAAAATCTCAAAATGCTTTGTATTAGATTAATGCAATTGATTTTTAATGGGTGCTCACAATAGATTTTGACATACTTTATATGTTGAATGCTTTTAGCGTAAGCAAAAAACAATTCTGAATCTCTGATTCCTTTTCTAGGGAATAGCTAGAAATTTTCCAGCAAGAATGGAAGGAACATTATTTGTTTTTACTGCTAAGGAACAACATGTACTAACTAGCTAGAAGTTAAAAATTTTAATATTCATAGCTTTCTAAAAGCTTTTTAAGAAAACCATATATGTGGCACCCAGAGAGCCTAACCATAACAGCTACACCATTAACGGTATAATGAGAAAGGAAATGAATAAAGTTTTGCCATAGGCATACAGAAATTTCAAATTGAATTAACAAGCTTGTTATAGAACAATCGATTAAAAACAATACGCACTATAAAACAGAAGCAACCCAAAATTCATAGCCCATTAAAACTTAGCTAGGTTGGTCTTTATAATAAATGCTTTCATACATAAGTGGTTAAGAATATGCAAAACCAATTCTTTTACACTGGAATAAGAAATCCTGTATTGTACTTACTCCATTTAAATTTGTTTCAGTTTATGTTCCATATGTTTCTTCATATCCTAAAATTTGAAGACGAACCCCACTCTAATTTTCCACACCAGCGTCTTCAAACATGAGTTCTGCAGCAAAGGATATGATAAAAATAAGCACGTGAGATTAAGAGGTGCAAATGTCCAGGTATAAACTAAATAAGTCATGGAGATGAAAAGTACAGCATGGGGAACAGAGGCAAAAATACCGCAATAATGCTGTACCATGACTACATTGAGGGTGCCGAACACTGCGTAACGTGCAGAATTGTTGGATCACTACGATGCACACCTGCAACTAATGTAACAGTGTCAACTATATTTCAGTAATTATAAATAAATAAATAAATAAATAAATAAATAAATAAATAAATAAATAAA